ACATTCGTTTCTAACAACGTTTTCACCAGTCTGCTGAAAACGTTGGAACAACCGTCGAACTGAAAAACGGGACAGGTTCAACTGTCGAGCAAAGTCACACTGCCGCATCCCTGACTGCAATAGAATCACTGAGCGGCTTCTTCAGAGTTGGTGTCCATCTTTACTTGTTCTTACTTGGGTTACTCGTTCACGTGTGTTCACTGCAAAGTCTAAATTACGACTGACCCATATTTCATCCAGATCGACCCTTTTATACCCTTTTTAGGTGATGTAACTAGCGTCCTTACTAACGAGCATTTGACAGTGTTTATTTTTGACGCTCTATAATGATAAATGTTTTAATGATTTCATGATTTTTTTATTAATAATGTAAAGCTATTCAAATACCCATTTCAAAGATACCAATATTTATATAAATATTCCGTCGTTTCTAGCCATTACAGCCATTTTTCGCGCAAACTCCAGAGAGGTGCGATTTTTGTGACGCTGAGTGTATGTCCTCACAGGGTGAAGTTTCTTATAAAAATGAACTTTACGATTTATTAAAAAATTCTGTAAGTGTAGTGAAAAATTGATTATTAGTAACGCGATGAATTCTGCCCCTTCCAAAAAACAAACCCTCTCAGAAATATGAAGATGAAAATAGGTCTCTCCTATAGATAGCGTCATAGGGGGATATTTGCCATTGTTGTCACGCTTGCCAAGCGAGTTCGCAACCGCAGTTTTTAATTTTAGTCGATATTAGGAAGACGCTGCTGCCCATCTCCTGGTTTGTTTCCCTCTGTCGCCTCTTACGACACCTGAAACCTTAGACCTGACGCAGTAGGGCAGCGAGCAATATAAAAATTAAAAGCAAATATGAAGACATATCTACAGGAAAGAAAAACACAACCTGCCTTTATGTATTCCGACACCACCATCTATCGATGACATTGGTTAACTATTGTACTTTATTTACTAAGGTTAATTCTATTTTTGTTTATATTTATGACGTTATTCTTTCCTATTTTTGTTTACTGCGTTTCAGATACGGTTATATCGTTATGGAAAATTATTTTATATCATTTAATTATGATTTATGATATAAAATTAAAATGCACTCGATGACTCAATGTCGCCATTGAACAAATTTATACTTATAATTCGTACCCATACTTCAGAATTTTAATCATAACTTTTGATATAATGAACCGATTTTAATAAAACAAAGACTAAATTGAACACAAAGATACACTTTAAAATTTCCCGACAGATTATATTTTGATATAAATTGGTACTTTATACGTGATATGTTAACAAACAAACAGACAGACGGACAATTCTAAAAATGGTAGAAATGTATTTATTTACTTATTTTTAGTCCCCCTCCCAATCATTTTTATTACAAAAATATAAAATGTACGGACATCTGCAATTTACATTTTTATTATATATGTATAGAAGATATTTCATTAAAAACAATAAAGTACTTATTTATGAAATATTATGCAAAACACCATTTTTACGTGTCTGTGTCCAAAACAACACTGTTGACCGAAACAAACGTTCCTCGCGCACTTGTGGCCTACGAGTCACTTGTACGGCGACAAGGTCACGTGCTTTTACGACTCCTATTGCCTTGTTATTTAGATTTCTGTGTTTTATACCTACTATTTTTTTGTTAATGTAGTGGTCTCTTGCACTCACGCGGCGAAGAAAGTAGACTGAAGTATATAAAGTAAAAGCGATGGGTAGGTAAAGGCGGAAACTTTTCATTTGAAGTAAATACTCTTAATTTAGAGAAGCGTAATTTAGTTACAAAACGAATTCTTTAAAAATTTAGTTGTAGGTATAGTTAAAGTATATAAAATTACATATTGAAATTTATTTTATTATTAGAACAAAGTAATGCATAATTCTTATAAACAACATTTAAAAAAGAATCGTTCTGAGCACTCTTATTTATGGGTCTGAGTAAACTTAGTGATTATATACTCTTTGGTTCTAAGGGGTTCCTTCTAAATATTACTATACTCTGGCGGGGTCTACAAAGGCGGCATTTGTAAGTCCGAACAGATGTATCGGCGTTTCAGATGTTAATCAAATAAATATTTCTGGGTCAGTGTTGCCATCTGACAAAAATAAAATTTTCTGGATATTAGATAGAGCTAAGGTATCAAAAATTGATAATATACTATTTTACTAGAAAAATCATATAATATACATAAATCTGTTAGTCAATACATTTATAACCTTAACTGTAAATTAACAATCAAATTTTAAAATGAATAGGTTCAACAATAAAGAATATCTTCCTCTTTGAATACTTTATGCATTAACTCAATAAGTGGTAAATAATAGTTGCAACAAATGTAATATTATTGATTAAATAACAATCAAATTTAAAAATCAGACTAAACACAAAATCTTTAGTAACTTGTATATTACGCTTTTTTAATTACCAACAGCAGTCACCACATCTTTTTTCCATTAAAAATCTAGTACTGAATTAATATTCCATAACAATCCATAAACACTCACGCCTGTCACACAGAGGGGTCGGCAGAGACTACAGATCTCCGTTTAGCACAATCCTGACACACCTATCTCGCCATATTTACGATTTATCTACGCATATACGCTCGTCGGTTAAGGGCAGGGGTCGGCAATCTTTTAAGTCGGAAGAGTCAAAAATTACAATTAACAGAATTTCAAAGTTTTTAAAGAGCCACAATTAATTTACTTGACAACCATAAACAGTACTTGCATAAATAAAGTTTTTTGATAAAAAAACTTATCTATTTATTCATAAGAAAAAAATATATTTATTCATCATATAAACTTCTTCCCCTCACTGTAGCAATCTTGAAAACTATTCCATGCGTCGAATATAAGTGCCTTAACTCGCGCCATTTCTTTTAAAACTGTCCATTTTTGTTGCGTTACGTACATACATTTCTGCACCTCCAACTCTTCCAACTTGCTTTTCAACTCTGTAAATTTTCCACTTCACGAAGCTTTATTTTTTAAATCGATCAATTGTATTTCTAGAAATCCAGTATCAACTTCAAAAGGCCCAGTGTGGATTTCGTATGTGTGAGTGCGATGAAAAGCGAGTTCAAGTGGCTGAGAGATAGAAATGGTACCTAATACTCATTAGTCGATTCAGAACGATCTTTAAATGTTTTTTTTTAATAAAATAATTAATATTTGCGTATGAAACTAAAGAGCCACAGCTTCACATCCAAAGAGCCGCAAGTGACTTGTCACCTTTATATATATATATATATATATATATATATATATATATATATATATATATATATATATATATATATATATATAAATATATATAGACCTATAAAAACCGTCGTGAAAGAAAATATAGCTGACGTCAAGCACCGACGCTCCGGGAAGTCTGCAGTGTGTTCAAGATTACCTCCACTGTTACATCGGATTTGATAAACAACAAATCCTCGCAATTGAACACCTTCCTACCAAGGATGATACATGAGGCTATTGCAATTTAAAAACATCCTAATTTCAATAGAGAAGAAGGATGGGTGCTGCCATTTGCTTGGGATCCCATAATTAACAAAATTAAACCCAAACCCAAGCATACCATTGATTAAAACTACTTTAACGGATTTTATCGCGTTTAATTTTAACTTTAATTATTTTTAATTCCCGACGTTTCGGGTGCTTTCCAGCACCCATGGTCACGGGGGACTGAGGAGACTGACGTCCCGATGTCATTGTTAAACCCGGAGTACCTTCAGCTTTTTTAATTATTGTATATGGTCCGATCTGTGCAAAATGAACTGATTATGTCTTGAGGTCTTGCAGTGGTATGCTTGGGCTTAGTTTTAATTTTATTGATTATAGGGTCCCAAGCAGGTGGTATTACCCAGCCTCCTCTATTGAAATTAGGGATGTTTTTTAATCTCAATAGCCTCTCGTATCATCCTTGGTAGGAATCGGTGTTCTTTCGCGAGGATTTGTGGTCTATCAAATCTGATGTAATGGTTGAGGCTGTCTAGGATATGATCACAAACTGCAGACTTCCCGGAACGTTGATGCTTCACATCAGCTATATGTTCTTTTACGCGGGTTCTAATTGATCTTTTTCTTTGTCCTATATACGAGAGACCACATTCACAATCAAACTTGTACACTCCTGCATCTTGTAGAGGAATATGACACTTGACGGATGGTGAGGTGATCTTCTTCGGCGGCTTGTAGAATGTGCTAATAGAAGCTCGCTTCAAGATGTAGCCAATCTTGTCTGTGATACCTCTGACAAATGGTAGTACAGCAGGCACACGCTCGACAGTGACCGGCTGCACTCGGTCACTGTGACGTAGGCGCAGGACCCGAAGCTTGTTGTCGTGCAGAACTTGCTTGACGTGCTGAAGCTCGGCGGCCAGGTGTTTGCTGTCACAGATCCCTCGTGCTCTCTGTAAAAAAGATTTACATTAGAAAAGTAGTTTTAATCAATGTGTAGTGTTCGCGTAAATATAAGAAATCATTATGTAAACCTAGCATACCAGTGCAAAACTTCGAGATACTGTAAGCTCGATCTGCGTAGATTGGACCAAAATCTATTATTTAAAAATTGAAGGTAGCCGGGCTAACTATGACATAGAGACGTCAAACATCTCAGTCCCCCCTGTGAGCATGGGCGCTGTAAAGCTCCCGAAACGTCGGAAATTAAAAATAAGTTAAAATAGTTAATTAATCGCGATAAAATCTGTAAATATAGTTTTATTCAACATTAGGATACTTTTTCTTCTTGATGAAGAATGGGTAAATGTACCCTTAAAAGTCCACTATTAAACATGGGCCTCTGTCTTTGTAGCGAGAACTTGCCATAATCATCTCACTTGCTGACCTAGGTTACCTTACTTGGGCAGATTACCTTTAAGTACCTTTAAAAATAGCATGCTGTTGAGTCGATCATCAATCGAAATATATATAAGATAGTATAATAGGAAGATAATTCTTAAATATATTTCTTACAGATACGGCATAATATCGGAGAAGAGAGGTTACGAGAACTAAGTGCTGTTCATCAACAGTACCGGTCATTAGAAAAGTTGAATGGAGTAAGAAGACGAGCAGGTGCCTACATCCCACCCACGCGTTCGTCTTCAGATAGCGGCTCCAGTGCAGCGTCCTCACCGCCGGGCACTCCTGCGCCACCTCCCCGCCGAGCCACCCCTTCGGCACCCGCAGCGCCTTCAGTACCCAATGCGCCGCCACCAGTCCCCTTTTTACCGTACCCGCGACCATACGCCTATCCTACTCCCCCACCAGCTTACCGACCGCCACCGCAGCCTTTCGCAAATGGTGAACCTCCACCTTACCCCACCCCTGCTCCATACGCTGGTTTTGTTCCCGTTTTATATGCCCCTCCTAAACTATCATGTTGGAACTGTGGAGGAGCAGGTCACGCCGGCCACGAGTGCAAGGAGCCTAGCATGGAGGAGATGACTCGAGCGGGTGGGTACCAATTGGATTTCGGAGGAGCACCCCCAGAATCGACGGAAAAGTAGGAATCACTGGTGCGCTGCTAAATGTTAGCGTTTTCAGTAGTCACATTACTCAGTTCTACTGAGGTGAGTTGTGTTGTGGCTCTTGCCCTGATTGGCATCCTTGTCTCCTTACCTCGTGGCAAGAATAAATGGACGCCGACTTGAGCCGATTGAGATGCGGCCTGTTAACTAGAGCGGCATTAATCCCTTTGTAATAGTGCAACCTGACATTTCTCTAACTTATTGAATTGGAATTTACAGTAGGTGTACAGTGTTAGACCTTAATGCGCTTACTGGGAAAACTATTTGTTTTCTATGAGAGTAAAAATTCTTGTATTGCACTTTCAAATTTTCATATATGACACAAAATTTTGTTCAGCAATTATGAATAAAGTCGGAATTACTTGTGTTAGGGATGTTTAATAATACATTAAAAATTAAAATTTAATTATATTGAAAATAAAAAAAACCCGAAAAACCGATTTTAATAAAACATCTAAGAACCACCGCTAGAAAACCTGTTTTTAAATTAAAACCACACTCAATACAGTTCACCTGTTTAACAGCTACGGTGTCACAGACAGACACACAGACAGGAGACAGACATAGCGATCAAACTTATGACACCCTTATTTTTCGTCGGGGGTGAAAGACTAATTTTTCAAAAGTAGATATTGGAATAGATGTAATTGTCTAAAATTGATCACTCTGAAAGTATCTGCGGTTTCTTATTTAAATTTTTTAAATTATTGAAAGTGCAATATATAAAATAATAAATGTCGTTGAAGGTTTCATTTTAGAATGGAGAGGGAATTCCATATTTGTTACAATATAACTACCATAGTTGAGTTCGAGCTTTGTTGCTTTGATTATGAATAAAATCAATTTTTCTATATTCTGATACTCAAATTAGATATGAATATTTTTAAGTAATTGAAAACCAAAAAAAAAATGTAAATTAAATTGTTGCTATTTCAAACTACATAGGTTTTAGTGTTTTAAGATATAACACTTTTGTGCCTTTGTATATAATTTTAAATTTTAAAAGTAATTTCATTGAAGGGTTTATAACCAAAGGTGTAAACTGCATGAAAATATGTACGATACTGTTCTCAACATTTTATTTGCAGTCAGTTTTAGATTGAAAGGCAATAGAAGATCTGTACCAGTTACTCCTTGCCAAATATTCTTTTATCTGTATTGTTAGACGGACTAATATCTTGATAAATTAATTAAATGACTTGACAAATTATTAAATAAGATCAATCAATCAATAAGTTATAAGAGATTAATCACAAATTGTACGTACTTTGAAGTCATTGAGACATTAAACCTTATATGATGTGGGATCTTAATAGGCCTAATAATTTTGGAGTGTTGAACTTCTTTTGCATACACATAAAGACATTTAGACTAGGGAGGAAGAGAGAGAAATAGAGAAAGAAAGAGAGAGAGAGAGAGAGAGAGCGAGAGAGAGAAGGGGAAATATGTCTTTGTTTAAGTTTTGTGGTAAGTCTAGTGTGAAGCCACATTATTGATTTTCGAGCTGGATTGTGTTATGATTATTCCCGTGCATACTGCATTTTTATAGCTTAGTAGAGTAGTAGCTAATTGTCTGGAGACGACGCAGCGGGTCGCGGTTTTGATTTTCCGCAAAGAACAAATGTATTTATGGTCTACAAGTTATTGTTTCGACTGTGGGCGTTTGTTTATGTGTGTTTAACATAAGCATACTCACATTATAAAGAAGAAACTCGTAGTTGGATGTAACTATTACTATTACACTAATATTTGCTGTACAGTTGATAAACAATGGTTAATATTTGTGAGAAGGATATCATCATCCTAAAGTGTAAAGCTAAAACCTTATATGTTATGTTATGTAACAAACAAATGTTGTATAATATATGTAACAAACGAACATATAAGTAGGTATGGCATTTATGAACATGAAATTTTTCTTGGCCGTTGTTAAAGAGATTTTAATTTTCACGATTGTAACTTTACTAAATTAAATTTTAGGAAAAAATTATATTCACATCTGAACAGCGAAAAGCGGGGTTTTTGACAATACTCTTACTCACCAGCTAATGCAGGGATAAGAAACCTACATACAATTTGAAAATAATATGTATTGTAATTTTTTTTGTTAGGTCGAGTTTTCTGAAGTAAAGTTAGTTGTGGGGAACCACGAGGTTTCTGTTACATTTTGTATAAGTCCCTATGCTGAGCACAGTCGTCTCAATACTGAGAGTGTAATGGTCAACTAAGAACATGCTCGAAATTTTTGATTCTCATTTTTCATTGCTTAGTTTGCTTGCGTAAAGTGGAATTAACAATAGTACATTCAAGTACTATTGTTAATTCCACCGTACCTTCATCATAATTGGTATAAATAATTTTGTCTTTGTGGTGAATATAGGATTACTAATATGCTTAATGCATGCAGACATATTATTAGATGTATTAAAATTGCTTACTTATGAATGGATGAAAGGTTTTCGAGTGGCAGTCTCTTACTGGCGAGCACAGCGTTGGGATGGAGTGATGAACTGATTAAACACAAGTGTAGTCAAGGGACACAGGTGGCCCAGGACCATATTTTGCGGGAAATACTAAGTTATAAATCAAAGTAAGATATGTTGGAACTTATTATAAATAAATATTTGTTATTTTATATCGTCTGCTTCATATGGGTGTCCAATCAACTACTTACTATACCCATTTTAAAGTTGTCCAAAAGAAAATTATTAGGATTAGTGCCATAATTTATTCAACCGATTTTGATGAAATTTTTTGTGTGTGTTTGAATGGGTCTCTAGATGGTTTATATTCATATTTGGATCCGAAAGGTGGCACTGTTGTCGAGATCCAGAAATCACCCGTGTGAATCCGGGGCGGATCGCTAGTTTAATATAAACTCGTATACCAGAATATTTAATAAACTTGTTGAATAAAAGAAATCAAAATAGGTATTTGCCTTTATTTTTAATCAACACTATTTCCATCAATATTAAAATCTCATATAAAATAACATAGTCCATGACATATTTTAGACGCAATTGCCGTTTTCAGAGCCATGTACACAATGATTTCAAAGTAAGGTTATTTTTATTTAATTCAGAACAGTAAGGAATTTGAGCTCAGTAATTTGTTATTTCATGCCTGTGGTATTATCTATTTAATGGGATACTCCGTTTATCCATTCTAAAAATCCACCGTGAAATGTATTCTACCTTATTGCGCTAATAATAAAGATTATGTTTAATTTATTTTACGTTAGGGTGGATAAACGGAATAATCCAATTTAGTACATCCCAATTAGTACAAGTAGAACCAGTTTTAAGGTTATCAGAGTGGGACAAAGTAATTATAAGGGAGTTTTAGATTTATTTTATGATCTGTTCTGATTTTGCATATGATTTAAAAAAAAAGTTCCCACAGACCTGAAGTTTTTAATTTGTAGCCTAGTACAAACTTGCTATAAAATAGATGTTACTATTTCTTTTGCTGCTTGGATAGATTCATATTATTCTAAGCTTTGGAATTCCCTGATATTCTTTGCCTTAAATTAACGTAGGTGGTGTTAATGAAAGATCAGCGCAAAAATATGACTTGTAGGCTATCCAGCATAAAGTTCAAAGTTGAAACACGAAATAGTAATGAAGGCTTACTTTGATTCAAGACTGATTTCTTATAATAATTGTTGCTTTTTCACCTTTAAAGTAAGTAACACCACACAAGTTCAATGGCTTGTTAAAGTAAAATAAAAGATATGAAATTTGAATTGAATCCTGACTGATCAGCTGATCACAAACCAGTGTGCATGTAGAGTTGAACCGATTTATTGAACAAGGGATTACTTTGATCAAGCTCATAAAATGCAATGCTCTTCAAATTAATAATGTAAGTGTCTATAAATAGTCATTGTAAATATATACAGATTTTTAAGAAAGATGACTTGTCCCAGTTGACTTGTTCATATTTTGTAAATAGTTCGGTTTATATAATTAGTAAATATTTAGAAAATGAGTATATTTGTAAATTACTTGGTAATAATTTGAGTGTCCCATATAGTGTATTTGATGATTTCTATACGATCAATGTCACAAATCACAATTTTGCATTTTTAAATTTCTCAATTATTAATAAAAGTCAAATTAGAAGGGTTGTATAATTGTTTTTTGCATAATTATATTTTTTATGGTAACAAATGTGTCACGCGTAGGTGGGTGCTGGGTGTCGTTTACGTAGCCACGGCCTGTAAATGTAACAAAAAAATTTAGTCTATGCATGACCTTGAGACAGCTTACATAAATTTATTAATAATTTAAAAATATGTTTAAGGGAAAAAATGAATTTTTGGTTTTAAAGCAATTGCTTCTATAAAAAAAAACATTACTATGTTGTAATTTGTTTAACGCAATTGTGGTATTTGTCAAAAAATAGCAGATTTTCCTTTTTACGAATAAGTTATAAATTGGTATATAATAGCTGTTTAAAGTAAATACATACAACGTAAACATCATTATTGTAATCTATTTATAAAATCTGTATAAATATGTAGTAAAATTATCGAAACTCTAACTTTACATAATTGAAATGAACTTGTATTCTCATTAATACTTAATTAAATTTTCACGAAAATAGCAATCCGTAATCAATAAACATATTATGTAATATAGTATTGAACATGCATAATTTCTTAGGTATAAATATAAAGACCAATGGACTTTTGAGATGAAAGAATGATGAAATGTATTTGCTTTGGACTGTTGTTATAAATCGATCTGCAACAGAAAAGTTTTAATTGACATGCTGCAAATAAGTATATTTTACGCATTTTTACGCGCGTTATATATTACGCAGATAAAATAACAGTTTTAAACAATATGACCGTAATTATTAATTTCAACTGTCATGATGCTTCGAGTACTTCATCATCAGATCGATAATCGTACGGGATTACTGTAAAACTATGAATATTTATATCAATCCTTAAGAAGGTTGTATGTCCACAT